AGAAGAAGATGATGAGGATGGGGAAGAAGAAGATGATGAGGATGGGGAAGAAGAAGATGATGAGGATGGGGAAGAAGAAGATGATGATGATGGGGAAGAAGAAGATGAGGATGGGGAAGAAGAAGATGATGAGGATGATGATAATAGAAAATGAAATGCTGTTGATGACGACGACGATGATGATGATGATGGTGAAGAAGAAGAAAAAGAAGAAGAGAAGATGATGATGATGGTAATTGAATGTAATAAGATGATGGCGAATTGGACAAAACTGAAAACAGAAACAAATACGACGAAGATGGTGGTGGTGATGGTGGGGACGATAATGATGATGAGATAGATGATGAGAAAGGTGATGATGATAACGACGATGATGACGTGGCTAACAACAATGACCCATACGCTGACAATGAGGATGAACAAGAGAAAGAGAACAAAGAAAAAGAAGAGGAAGAAGAAGAGAAAGAGGAAGAAGAAGATGAGGAAGAGGAAGAAGAAGATGAGGAAAAGGAAGAAGAGGAAGCAGAAGAAGATGAGAATAAAGTATTTCTTTTCGTTTTTATTTTCCCGGACGCCTGACACCTAGGGAATGAATTATTAATAAACATGGCTCTCCTTACTAACACTCCATCCTCTTGTACTATATCAAACAGTCTGCTTCTATATATTAAATTCCAGGAATAATAATGATAATAAATATATGTATAATAATTATAATTATAATTATAATAATAATGGTGGTGGCCTGGCGTTTTGTTGTTGTTGTTGTTGTTGTTGATGATGATGACGTTTTTGAGTTCGCTGATGGCGTAAATATTAAAGACGTTGGAATACTTGTTGTTGTTGTTGTTGTTATTATTATTATTATTGTTGTTGTTGTTGTTGATGTTGTTGTTGTAGCCATTAATTTGTCTGTTCTGACGAACGCAGCTGTTAAGATGTCCAACATTATCATTGGTTTTGCTGTTGTTGTCGCAAACGTAGTAGTAGTAGTAGCAGTAGTAGTAACTGTAGTAGAAGTGGTAGCAGCAGCAGCAGTAGTAGTGGTAGTAGTAGTGATGGTAGCGATTATAGCACCACCACCAACAACAACAACAACAATAATAATAAAAATAATAAAAATAGTGGTTGTTGTTGTTGTTGTTGACGGAATTAACGTAATTGTACATCAAGCTGGTTTGCACTTGCAGCCAAGACATTATTATTACTTTCGCTGCTGTAAATATTTTCGTTGCCCAGTAATCATATTCAATTTTATTATTGTTGTTGGAAATTATGGTTATAATAATAATAATAATATTATTATTACTATTATCATTATTGTTGTTGTTGTTGTCGTTGTTGTTGTCATTGCAATTTAAATTCTGTTTTTCGTTGAATTTACAGTCGTCAAGGCAAAAAATGTCTTGATCATCCCCACCATCATCACCACCATTATTATTATTATTATTATTTTTATTATTACTCCCCACCCAGAGACCCCTTGAACTTGCGTCCAACCAACCACTACCATCATCATCATCGTCATCGTCTTCGTAATAGAGAAAACGAACCGCTGAAAAGTTAGACAAAAATCTGGTAGTAGCCGTATTTAGCAAATAAAAACTAAATAAAAACAACAGGATGAGGTTTTTATTATTAATCTTTGGTGACGTAGATGATGATGACGTCGAGAAGAGCATGGCGGACGACGACGATGATGAGTAAGATGATGATGATGATGTCTTCTTCGAGTGCTTGTTGTTTTTAGCATTATTAATATTACTATAACTATTCTTCGTGTTTTTATTATTTATGGCGTTTAATTCGTTATTATCATTATTATTGTTGTTGTTGTTGTTGTTGTTGTTATCCGGCTGCCATTTTGAATTTTGCGCGTATGTCGGTGGTTTGGAGAATGCGGTTCCACTACTCGCCGCGTCTGAGAAGAGCTGCTTGGCTGGGAAGTTCGGTACTGATAGGTTGGTTGGTTGGATGGTTAGTTGGTTGGTTGGTTTTAAGATTGATAGAAGAATTGAATAATTAAAAAAAAAGGTTCAATGAATAAACTTTTACAAATAGATTAGTCCGTCAGTCAATGAATGAATGAATGAATGAATGAATGAATGAATGAATCAATCAATCAATCAATCAATCAATCAATCAATCAATCAATCAATCAATCAATCTATCAACCGACTAACTTTGCATCAGCTCGACGACTTTCGTAGCGGTGCCAACCTCATTGCTAGCTTCATAGGTGTACTTTTTGAAAGAATCCGGCGTAGCTCTCCGTAGATACAACGTGTGCTCGTGCCTATCGTCTGAGCCCTGTGTCATAAATGTGATGAAGAGTTATTGAGTGATTGAGTGAATGATTACAGGAGTGAAAA